TGTGTGTGTGTGTGTGTGTGTGTGTGTGTGTGTGTGTGTGTGTGTGTGTGTGTGTGTGTGTGTGTGTGTGTGTGTGTGTGTGTGTGTGTGTGATGCTCACCATGGCCTGAGCCAGTGTCTTCTGGACCAGGGTGACGCAGCGCTGGTAGACAGGCTCGCAGTATGGGAGGAAGCCGCTCTGCAGCGCCGTGGCAACGGACGACAGACACTCGAGCAGAGGGAAGAGATCTTTATCTTCATCCTTCAGCTCGTTCCACTTGGCTATAAGCGGAGGCATCAGCTTCTGTATGTACTCCTGAAAACACAAGTGTGGGATTCATTTTCTCCCCTTACCAAAAAAAAAAAAAAAAAGGGACAATACATTACACACAAAGGAGCTCATTTAATGTGTGCATGTTTAACTCACTTCTTGGTTGAGATGGTGTCCCACAGAGTCTGCCAATGTCCCTATGGCGTCATAGAGGATGAGCAGGTTCTTGTGCTGGTACTTCCCAAAAGCAAAAACCAGCGTGTCCAGGATGAAGCTCAGGTAAGGAACCAGCTCTGTGCACGCCTCCTCCTCCAGGGTGGCAAACGCACTGTAGGGAAAACGAGTCGGGGTTAGACAAGATGTAAGAGCAAAGAGAGAGAACACAGGAAATATGGGGAAATGTCTGCTCTGTACCTGCATGCTGCTTCCTGTACCCTCTTGTTGCCATCCAGGATGCGTTTGAGCAGCTCGGTCATGAGGGGTTTGAGGTGAGAGTCGGGGGGCTGGCTGACCACCCAGTGGGCGTAGCGGCTCAGGGTCCAGCAGGCGATGGAGCGGACCAGGGCCTTCTTGTCGCACAGACACTGGATGAGGTGGGGGATGAGCTCAGGCAGGTACGGGACCATGCCTTGCATACAGCCTGGAGACAAAAACAGCTTTATAAGTCTTCAAAAAGGTGGCTACTTTTTCCGGACAAACACTTAATTCGCTGTCTTGCTTGGATTCAAGATTCAATTTCACTGTCATATACACAACAGCTACAGCATAGTTAGCTAAAAAAAAAGAAGGTACAGTTAAATCATATACACTAGAATAGAATACTCTAATGTGCTAATAGAGTTAGATCAGAAGAGCAATGCCAAGCGCAAAGCTACCAAAGCTACTGGTTAGCTTATCTTAGCTTAGCATAAATAAATAAATGAACACAGGGGTAACGGCTAGTCTGGCTCTGTCCAAAGCTAAAAAAGAGGACCTAACAACCTCTATAAGGTTAGTTGGTTTTATTCTTACAAAGACTGGAGTGAAAACATATATTTACAAGGAGGATGGGTGTCTGAATATTTTGGTTAGGACTAGCAATTGACTACAGTAAACTGCAGTTTTTTGTCTCTCACCCTCAGCGATAGCTCCCAGCACGAGGATGCCAGACTCCTTGATGACCCAGTCCGGGTGGAACAGCAGTCCTTTGAGCAGCGGCAGGAGATGTGGGAGCAACTCCTCACGGAACACGTTGGCAAGAACATCCAGAGCTGCAGCGGAACACTTCCCTGCAGGGGGAAAGACCCATCGGCATTAGATTGGAAAAAGGGAAAATACTCTGAGGAAACACTGGCACATCACAGCATTAGAGAAGCCAACTTCAGACATGGTAAGACAAACACATTATCTTTTATTTACATGGATTGGTAGCTGTACGTTCCCCCTCAATCTCAATCTATTTTTATTTGTTTTAATGTAATACTGTTTCTACACTGTATGTGCCACACTGTTGTTGTATGTTTGTATTGGCTTTTCTGTTCTAATGAAAACAACATCTGTGGAACATATAAAAACTGATAAGTACATCAACATTATGTAAATATGCACTGCAAAATCACAGCGTAGAAGTAGCATAATGTTGTTATAGCTGAAAAAAAAGCCATCTTAAAATATACATGGCCACCAGAGAGAATAACTGCAACGTACGTAGGTTCCAGTCAGACAGCGTATCATCGTCATCGTCATCATCCTCATCGATGTCCTCCCCGTCCTCGCCCTCCCCCCCTTCGTGCTGCAGCGTGACAGTGCGGGACTTGTGGAAACGAGGCTTGATGTCTTGCTCGCTGTCGGGCACTGCCTCGTCTTCTTCAACATCACCCTGGAAGATAACAGATAGAAAAGGTGATAAAAGAAAGAGACGAAAATAAGTATGAGAAGATAGGAAGATCCGATTCACACAGGGGAGGCTCACCTTTAGAAGGATGATGTCAATCTCAGAGTATTTCATCCCATTCACCAAGATAGGGGTCAATCTATAAATAAATAAAAAAGACGGAAAAAACTATTTAATTCCTACAAGACACTTATTTGTTAAACTGGCCAAAAATGCTGTTGCTGTGTGAGCACTTACTGGACCAAGTGGCCGGACAGGGCCTCTTTACAGATGGGCTGCTCAGCCAGGGTCAGCCAGAACTCACAGGCCTCCAGAGCCACGTTCTCATCGGGGTCCTGGGTCCTCTGCAGCATGTACTGGGGACAGACAACAACAGGTGTTGAGGATGAGATTCACGAGGAAGGGAAGGACAAATGTTATCCGTCTTTCCAAATCCCCCCCTCACCTGGATGATGCTGTGCATGTGTGGGATGAGGCGGTCGATGCGGACTTCGAGCAGCATGACCAGAGCCCTGCACACGTTCTTCCGCACTTCACTGTCCTCGTCACCGGCCAGCGCAAACAGACTCTGGATATAAAGAAGAGGGAGGAGGGGAAAAATTGTTAACAAAGAAGAACTCTGTTATGACTTTGAAAGCAGATCAAATAACCTGAACAGGATTTCAAGGTCTCGCCCCTAACCCCACCATGTCTTCATAGTCATTAATGATACAAGTCTGGATGGCCAATACAAACCAACATGAATATTGAACTTTTTAATATGTCTAAAAGTCAATGGGTTTTTTGATTGATGCCTGAGATTTCCCTTTTTTCGTACGACATAAATCATCAGTAAATGCCCGACTTGCGATCTGTGTAGCTTTTACGCATCTTAATAAAAGGCAATTTCTATCAAGGGGCTAATTTAGACTACAGATGACCATGGTGCTTTTCAATTTTTTACATATTTTAGCTTTTTACTTCTGTCAATTGCATTTACGCTTAAACACTTTTTAAGATTATCCTGCTTAACAAAATGTGCAAGTATCTTTAACAATAGTTTTTCGTAACTTTAACATATAAATGAGCTCTAACATATTCCTTGTCAAGGTCTAAAACCAATGGAAGTTAAATCAACATGGTTCCTGTAGGGCTCACCTCAATGAAGGTGTCAATGTTGTCCATCAGAGCCTCAGCTCGACCAATGATGAACTGGTTCACACAGGCTATAGCATGGGACCTGAGAGAGAGAGAAAAACATGTCAGATTTATGATGATTCTGACAGGGAGAGTCAAGGGGAAATGATGGTTGCTTAACTAACCTGATCTTGGGGCTGCAATGTTTGAAAAACTGTAGGAATTTGGGGATCATGATGTTGAGGGGTCTATTCAGAGCATCGCTATCCAACAACTCTGAGGAATCCTCGCAGATCTTTTGCAATGCGCCAAAAGAACCCTGGAAAGCAGAGAAAAACCATAGAGATGGAATGTTACAAACAAAAGTAAAGATATAAAAAGGGATTATTGAAATAACACTGCAGTGTGTGTGTGTGTGTGTGTGTGTGCGTGCATGCGTGCGTAGGCAGATGAGCCTGACCTCGCAGGTGTTATAGTCGTCCGAGTTGAGCAGATTACAGAGCTGAGGCAACAGCTCCGGCCATGTCTGCAGCTCTCCTTTAGAGGCTATGGTCGTGATCAGGATACCTGGATGATAAAATAATAGAAAGGTTACGCAAGAATAACTCAGGCATCGCAGTACATCTCCAAAAACTAAGAAAATTCCTGCTGAATTTAAGACATCTATCAAAACACCTCTTTACCATCTCTTACACAACCATGTTTTATTTATCCAGTTGTATGCTCACTAGTTTCCATTTTTGCTAAAACCTCGCCATTTAAATGGATTAAAAGGGATGCTACTCATTCATAAAAAAAAATTTTTAAAAGGTTATTGAAGATTATTTATTGTCTTTCTGCAACACGGCTGTACAACTAAACACAGTTTTAGTCGGTTCATGCTACCCAAGAAAAAACAAAACAGTGGTGCACACCTGTACTGTATAATTTGAATTTGCTTCCAGAGAAATATAAACTAACAGAAATACCAGTAAATGTATGCATCCTTCAGACGATTAGTGAAAGTCTGTACACAGATTTTTAAATTTAGTTTTGCTGTTGTTAAACTCCATTTACTTCAAATTCATCAAAACTGTTTTTGCCTTTGGGTTCCTTATCACAATGGTGGTTTGTAAGGAAAAGAGTTTTCTTCAGGAATGCAGGTTTAACAAAGTGAGTAAGTGTCTCTTTAAAATGAGTCATTAAATTGCATTCCATGATTCAAAACTACTTTTTAAAATGCAGCGCTTGCTCCCACACAGCCACATTACCTGCAAAAAATCTAACCACCTACATGGAAGTCTGACTCACACTGGCTATGAAATGCACTAGTTTTATTTTTCTCACTCAAACACCCACCGATGGTAGCTCTGATGAGCGGTGAAGGGTCTCCGATATTGTTGAGGCATTCTCGTTTGATGAACTCAGCCACATTAGGAGGGAAGTTCTGGTAGTGAGCCTTAACATTGTTCTTCAGTATCAGACCGCTCAGAGAGCGAGTGGGCTCATCTAAAGAGAGAGGGCAACAGAGAAAAAGAGCATACATACATTTTTTAGATAGGGAAATTGGAGATTATATACAGAAATAACTGCGCAATTGATCTGACGTGCATATACATACCCTCAGATTTGAGGCTTGTAAGGACAAAGATGAGATAGTTGTTGAAGTCTGGAAACTGGTTGAGTTGCTCGAGTTTCTGAAGGCTATGTTAAGGAGTTCAACCATTTGACCACCGTGCACATTACTCCCAATCACCTTGTTATGTCGTGTTTGACATATCAAGATATGTCAAACACGACATAACAAGGTGAACCAATACAATCATCGCACAGGATGCAACCTCCGCATGACAACACACCAACTCAGTTTTCATTATCACCCACTTTGATACACAAGCTCTCAATCGTGAAGCTAAATCTCACACCTATTTATCTCACCCTCACAAACACACACATACACACAGTTGCAAGGATACTTCTTGCACAGCTCTCTGTGTTGCTGTGTCTGGGGACTGGGAGTCCTTGAGTAGCTGAAGCACTTGCTGCAGACCCTGTTCATCTGGCTGCCACTCCATCCTACAGGACACAAACACACACAAACCTGTTTATGAGGAATGCTACTGCATAGCACCATAGACTGTAGATGTAAGCATTTAACTAGCCAGCCCCATCTGTGACCTCAACGCTGCGCACGTTTCTACTCAAATCACGTAGAAGTAGCGTAAGCTACGCAGCAATGATTACAGAACAACACGCATAGCAACAACCAATTCAAATAACGGTATTAACGTTAGCTGTTAACTTTCCAATCTTAATGTTAGAGAAAATATCGTACTCATGTTAATCAGTGTCTACAATGTGGAAACGTAACGGCGTCAATGTTGATGAACATGTTCTGTTTCTGGATACAGGAAACCTAAAACTACCACTACTTGGTTGTCAATTAGTTAATAAGTAACCGTTGCATTGATACATAACCACTACAACCATCATCAACAATCAGAACAGGGTTTTCCAAATGAGGCCCAGACGGCAGAGATGCTAACGCCTGGCTCCCACAGCTAACAAGCTAGCTTAGCATCGTTATGATACTTCACACGTAACAGATTGACACAGAACACAGCAACACAACGCTATCATACGTTAACTATGAGTACACCACGCCACGCTGTCAAAACAATGTTGTCATCAAATCAACAAAGACGGGTGCATATGGAGCGCATTATTACTCATAACATAGCAGTCGCATTACAACCTATTAGCATGCTAGCTAGCATCATCTTAAAAGTACCGCGAAAGATTTTACCTGGTCACTCCGCTGTGGTAGATCTATCTTTGTATGGATAATAGAGCTGTAACGACTAACATTAAATAGAATATGACGGCGATCTGTGAAGCTTAATACAAAACGTTTGATCTCTCTGGATCTGTGTGGTTGCTATGCTAGCTGGTATGTGACAGAGATTGCATGCCTTGCAATCAAGCCGGGTGATCCGTTTGATCATGTTCGGCTTCCGTACTTGACAGACTTGTCTGTAGGGATAACTGTTATGAGAGTCGCTACAGAGTTCCGTTTGTTAGACAGCATAATACATAATGTTCCAGTGCCTACTTTTATTGAGGTGCATCATATATTTAATCTAATAAGGTTTTTCTTGATGAATTGTCTGTTGTGTTTAATTTCTGACCACCAGATGGTGTCAGTTTCAAATGATGGCCATCAGCATTTAACTAAGGTGTGTACTCATTTTTCAATTGTACAACTTGACTTATTGATCTGTATGAACGGCTTAAGGGCCTGCACACAATATAAGGAACACTAGTGCAAGCTGACAACAATTAAGGTCAGTTGTATGTCAATGTGTTCCAACATGAAAAAAAAACAATCAAAGGCCAACAATATAGGCTCCAAAGAGGCAGTATGTTACAGGTCTAAATGTGTCACATGTGGTGTCTATGTCTAACAACTGTAAAATCGCAGAAAGCAACTATAATTCAGCCAGAGGCCCCTCTGTATATTCATCAATGTCACAAACCACTTCCTTTCATTTCGAAATCCTTGACAAATCTGTTTTTCTGAAACCATGCTTTAGAAAAGTGGAAGTGTTCCAACAGCATGAAATAATTTTAGTTTTTTCATTAGTGAGAGGAACAGAGACTTTCTTTCCAACAACACAAAGCTTTATTGAATTATACATGTCAATATTTGATCATCACAGTTAACACGTACACATTCACATTCCTGTATCAATAGTCATCATCACATGCACTCAAGTGAGTTGGATGGGATCTGGAATATCTACATGTGAAGAATCACAAATGAAAAAAGTAGAGCTCTGCATTTTAGACAGGAACATATTTAAGAAAAAAGGTTCAGCAGAGAGAGCTGATTTCACTCTTGCTACAGCCCCATTTGCAGCATGCGTTGGACAGTCCGACCACCACATCTCGTCCTTTCCTATCTGCACTCCGTAGAGCCTCCAGCACCTCCTCTGAGATTGGTGAGCGTGATGAGCGGCTGAATCCAACAGATGCAGCTTTCAATGTTTGATCTCTCCATGCTTGTTGGGACTCTGCAGGATCTTGCTCCCCGTTGAGTTGAGGGATGGCATTTGTGTTCCATGGGTCATATGCCTCTTCACCAATGAGAGCTGATCAAAAAAGGAAGGGCACATTTCTTAATATAAAAACACAACATATCAAACAAACTTTTATTTATATGATCATGAATGCTTACCTGGGTCTTCTATGCCTCTCCTCCAGCGAGAACCACCGCAGGTAAAGATGACAGCTCGAATGAACTCTCTTCCACACAGTTTCACCCCGTAGAAAGAGGGATGCCCGTTATTGGTCTGAACCCTGTCCACCAGCACCGCCAACAAGCCCAGGGTCAAGAGAGCTGCCTTCCACATGGTGAGAGTAAAAAGATGCTGTAAGGTGTCTCAAAGGCGGGTTGAGGTGTTTGTTTGTTTCTGGGCAGCTCCCACCATATATAGGCCTCACCATCTCAGAGAAGAACCTCAACTCACTTTCCCTCTACGTCATGCCCCAAGAGATAAGAACATGGACCTTTTGGGGCAACAATGCAAAATGAAAAAAGGAAAACTTGCGATAAAGTAGCCAAGATGCCAGAAGGGATGTCAACACAGCGTTTAGCTATCGAATCACCTGTGACCTTTTGCTGGCCTTTCTGTCCCTTGCATCTAATGGGTTGGGCTGTGTGTGTCATCACAAAACTCTGTCTTGCTATCTGCTCTTCCCTGCATTGGATGGAGATCACTATCCACTAACCTCGAAGATAACTAGGGCGCTATATCTTGGTGTTCACTACAAGTGGCACACACACAGGCCTCCAAGAGAGATATCAGAGGGCAACTGGCAATACTACAGTGACTCAAATCAATCGTGAACTTCTAAATGTTGCACGTTTGAATTATTTATATAGAGGGGGCGGAGATAAGGATCAGAAACTGGTTTCCACATACAAGGAATTTGCCTCTGGCCTATTTGCATATAGACAAATATAGAATAGGAACAAATTAAATAAAAACATTCTAGAAATACTATTTTGATTTGAAATATGTGCAATGTAAGATAGCTAAGAATGTGCTATAATAGTTGTACATGATGTGTAAAGGTTCACAGTATTTAGAAGAAAAATAATATTCAATGTATATATATAATAGTACAAAACTCTGAATTAACGTATATCAAAAAGATAATAAGTGGCAGTAGCAAAACATTTTATCTAGTGAATAAAATGTCATTCCATTATAAATGTATAATCTATTAATCTGCCTGATTTCCTGAGCAATCATAAAAGTAACATTCATCGTGGTCAGCGCCATATAGATAGTCTATATGGCGCTGATCGTGGTCATCTGACGTTCGACTCTGGCGAAAGTGACAGACAGGCACTGTCTACCAATGAACGATAGATTATTTTAGTGACGCGGCGACCACCTCCCAGGTCAGCCAATCAGCATTTAGTGCAGGGCGGGGCGAAGACGGGAGGGTAGCAACAGTTGCCCCGGTGAAGGCAAGGCGCCATAGTCACGGTAGTCCTGGCGACAAGAACCAAGCAACGGGAGTCAACAACAACAACAGCCTAAATCTAAGGAAAAAAAGCTCAAACGACTAAAAAGGACACTATTGGGATACATTAAAGGTGAAAAAGTAAACTATTTCAGAATTATAATTTAATTTTCTCCTAGTATATGTGTGTGCTTGTTTGTACAACCGTCAGCGTTAAAGTGAGAGTGGTCGATCTAGTCTGTGATGAAAGTGGTTGCTAGCTCATTTCATAAAGCAGACCGTTGTTATGGCGATGTCAGATCTCTGATAAGAGCACAAGATGGCGGGTGTGTTGGAGTGGCAACCGTACTTTTTCTGGCTCATCTGTTATAATGTTCAGGCGTTTTCTTACAGCTCCGACAACGATAACATTTTAACGAGGCGTGTTTAGTTGCGTGGTCATTGATTTAATAACTATCCAACACGAGTCACTAGCAGCTAGCTTTTGCCCCCTTTAACGTCACAACTCAAAGGGAGCTGCTAGCTGGGGAAGCTATGACTCCCCTGCTCAACTCACTTTTCTTAGCAAGCGAATCAGAAACATTAGATGTAGTAAAACACTGAAACCGCCCTCGTAACCCACACGTATATTAGCTGTAAACTCGGAGTATGAGTTTAGGGTGTTTTATAATCTTTTTGTGACTTTGAAAAAGTTTTTGGTCTGACATTGACTTGTCTGACGGCAAGTGAGTCCCTTGAACACGGTGTGCCGGATGATCATCTGATTGTCTTGTTAGCTGTGTTGCTTCACGCAGGAGTGGTTTATCTTCCAGTGGGATGGCCTTAATCTTTGACTGACAGTGGGTCAGATGATTAATATGAGTTTATTTCCAGATGGTGAAATCTGGGACAGACCTTGGTCACATATGTTCAAGTGTTTAGTTAGCCATTCCTTTGTTTCGTTTTCACTAACACCAATACATCTTGATTTGAATAGTGATTACATGTCTGTATTCATGGTGCTTAAGGTCGCATTGCAATTCATACTGCACCAGACAGGAAAAGCTCTAGCTCTAGTGTGTTATACTCATACAAAAGCCTTACTTCCGTTTATGTTCCACACACACACACACACACACACACACACACACACACACACACACACACACACACACACACACACACACACACACACACACACACACACACTGATTGTGGCTAAATCATACAGAGGTATAGCATGCCAACAAGTGAGTGTTGTTTTGTGCTCCTAGCACTTTCATTAATGAGTGCTGTGTCTTTATCAGCAGAACTAGTGCCTCAAAGCATTGGTTGCCATGGCAACTTCTGGATACTCGGAGGACCTTCAGCCTCAGCAGGCCAACACAGTAACTATGGCAACACCTGGTGCCACCGCACCCTCATCTGCAAAGACCGCACACTTCCTGTCCGATGTCCCACCGACCTCTGGGACCATTTCATCTGCGAACCAATCGTCCGCTGCCGCAAAAACGGGACAGGACGCACTTTGTTCTCAAGCGCCGCCCACCAGCCAGAAGCCAGTGGTTCTGACGACTCCCACGCAACACTATGTGCCCCCAGATATCCAACACACTGCGGTCCAGAAAAGTAATGGTCAGAGCAACTCGCCTCAGTACATCATAGTGACTGTTACAGGTGAGAGGCAGTGGAAGGACCGGTACATACCTACATAATACATACTGTGCACACACACATGTTTTAGCAGCAAGAGGGCATGATGTGGCATGCAGTCTAAGCAAGCCTTAGTTTGTCTTGCAAGTCAATGTATAGAGAGAGGGGTGTACGCAACAGGCTAGATCCTGGTTGGAGACTGGCAGTTTGAACAAAATATAGGGATGGATTCTAGTTACCAAACAGTGCAGCGAGGAGCTGTTTTTGATTCTTTGTCTTTATTCACCTTTAAAATATCTACGATAGCTATTCTTTTTAGTTGTCAGGGCCAACCCATCTCTTTAAGGGTGGTATCATATAATCCTTGAACAATCAGTCCATAAATGAATTGAAAATAATTGCTAAGGATGTTGTAATCTTTTTTTGTATTTATCAAAAAGAAGCCCATAGACCTTTTTTTTACATGAGTGCAAATTGAATAGCTTTAGGTCTCGTTCTATTGGTCAGACATATTGAATAAGTTGGATACTATAACTGAGGTCTCCTGGTACTTGAAAGACAAGATTTAAATCCATCTCGGGTCTAAAAACACTTTTGTAGTTAACCTGTCTGACAGGGAGTTGCATACATTATAAATACAAATGGTATTCGGTGGTATAATGATGTTTTCAATTATATTTAATCAACATGTCTTTATGTGTGCAAGTCCGACAGCGGTTCAGAAAAAAGCCATTATTTATGGTAGCTAATATCATTTGTGCTTCCAAGGCTTTGGACCATTTCCAGATATTTTTGGAAATCCATTTAGACAATTGCTCTTTCAAAATATTTCAAACATTTAAAAAAACAAATGCTGAGTCATTAATAAATCAGCTATTTTGTTATAAATATGTTGTTAACTAGTGGGAATGAGAGAGAATTGACACCAGCAGCAGTGTCTCTCTCTGTATGTTTATTTTAGGGTCGTCTATTCGTAGATCTTTTTGCCTGCTGGTATCAAGTAACACTGTGCACTCCTCAGAGTGAGACTCACAGGCCGGGGGCCCGTCATACTCATGTAGTTGGACTTCAAAGTTAGTTGAGTAGCTGCATATTAAAACATGGCATTCCCTCATATACACTGCAATAAAAAGTGATGTAGAATAGAATAAGCTTGAGCTATGTGCTTTTTTGTTCTATTTTTCCAAGTTTATGAAAGCAGGTTAGAATAATGAACTTAAAGCTTTTCACTAAATACAGTCTAACTATAAAGAACCTTTCTAAAAACCTGCTTCTTTTATAACAACACAACAGGAGGTATCATGTAACACATAGAAAGGGATAAATGTTTATTTGTTTAGCCGCTACTTCATAATGTCCCTTTACTACATACTTTTAAAAGTGTATATATATACGAATATTCAGACAATGGAATTGGAAATTGACGAATACTAATATATAAAATAAAGTCACACAAAGTTGATCTGTTAAAATAATGTAAACTTGATTTAAAAAAAACCTTTTCACACAGGGGTAGAAAGTCATTTATTTCAACAGGCATTAAACTGCCAATCCAGTTTCAGTGGTACTTAGGACCTTTGTTAACTAAGTGCAAAGTAATACAAGTTAGATAAAGGCAAGGCAAGTTTATTTATGTCGCACCTTTCAACACAAGGTAATTCAAAGTGCTTTACAAAAATAAAAAACATTAAGAGCATTAAGAAATCCCTGGATCTGGATTTTAAACCTATTGTTTTTAGATTCCCCGAGCCTAGGATATTTAAACCTGTTTCTTTGTTAAAGGACACACAAAAAACTAAACTCCTCTCTCTTTTGGCGTTAACCTAAAATGTTTTCAGACAGGAGCTTTTGTCAAAAAGTTGATCATGTAAACATTTGAGGTCATGTCTATATGTTGCACAAAAGTGGATAATGTTATCATTGTGACCTATAATTGAGTATTGAGACCTTATCCTAATGCAACTTTACATTGAGGGGTTGGCTGTGCTGGCTAAAACGTAAATATATTAACTGAAGTAAAAGTAGCATGGTGAAAACAGTTAGAATAATGTCTTCATTTTATTTGAAGGGTACAAAGAAGTACATCTTACCCTCTTCTCTTCCCGCCCTCCACCCTCTGTTTTCTCCCTCCCTCCATCATCCTCCTCGTGTATCTCTCATTTCCCTCTCTCATCTGATCTGCATGTTTACAAGATGGACTGATTTCTCTCTCCATCTGGGGAGATTAGCTGTCCAAGGCTGTCCTGCTGCATGCAAGATATAAGGATGGAAGCAGAGTGGGACAGACAGACACTTTTTAACCTCCCTGCTATCAGTCTCCTCTGAGAACTTTGCTAAAATATGTTCTGCGATGGTTGTTATTACGATTTGGAAGCAGTGTGTCGTGAGTACATAACTTTGTGGTAATAGTGTCTGGGCTTTTCCCTCGATTCTGTTCAAATATCTGATGAACCCTGTCTTCCATCCATAGAGGGCTCTGTTCACTCCAACGACAGCCTGTCAGACTCCAGCCCGCCAGCCTCAGGTGTTCCTGCTCAGGTGGTCCAACCAGTGCAGACCAGCCAACAGGTAATACCCCGATATAAACTCAAACAACATTCATTTAAACACATGGTAAATCACCCAGAGTTCCATCTGATACTGTGGCTTTACTCACCTGCAGAGGTCAGTTTTGCAAGCAGCCAAGAGGATTCAGTCTGACCACATCAACAACCTGCAGTCTGTGCACATTAACCAGGAGGTAAACAGACAAGGAAAAAAACCGTAGACGCAATCAATTCAAGTGCAATGGCATGTATTAGTAATGGCTTTGTCCACTTTTACAGGCATATGGAAACTAGAGAATTACATGTTTTCCTTATTTGAATGTCTTAAACCTCCATAATGCAGCCTCCCCAGGCTGTCTGACATGTACCTGAACACTGAGCTCTGCAGGTCCTGCTGCTGTTAGGAGTGTTTGTGGACCACCACCTTTCAATTGTCTTAAATGGCAGACTGCTATCCTAATACTTCTTAGTTGTGTTCCCTAATAATTATATTCAAACTGTCATGTCTACCCAGAAAATCCCTCATCTTTACTGCTTCATTTTATGTACAAAGGTTACGATGGGAAGAAGTCAAACAGGGTACAGAAATTGTGCCTGCTCGGCCTCTTCTGAGCCAGTTAAAGAGCGTAGCACTCAGTAATTCGTCTTTTGTTTTCCTAGTTATGTTCTCTGTATTCTATGTTTTATGTGTAACGTTGCTGCCTTCTTGGCCAGGTCAGTATTGAAAAGGAGATTTTATCTCAATGCTTTTTTATCTGGTTAAATAAAGGATAAAAAGAATTAGAACAAAAAAATCTGTAGTATTAGAAGGAACATTAATTATTTGTATTTATTATTTTGTTACACTCATTGTTTCAAGCTAAATATAGGTAACTATGGCTCAGCTTTGTGGTTCTATTAACAGTAGTTATTGTGGATATAACACATCCAAAACGATCCCAAATGTTTTCCAAAGGTGTCCAAAGGGCACATTAGAGTCAAACAGCAGTGCAAAAAAACGATTTCTTTATATTTAAAACGTTTGAACAGGTTATATCCGTATTGCCACTATTGCTACCTGGTGACCAAATTAACCGAAGACCAACATGTTTCTAAGGACGCCATTTATTCAGGTCTTGACAAGTCTGCACACTATTTATTACGGTAAATGTGAAGCATACTAGGGCGTCTCATTGCTCTTAAAGCCCATTATACACTTCCTGCTCTGCAAATAATGACACACAGAAAATGCCATGGAACTCACTGTGAGAGGAATACCAAAAACAGAGCTATAAGAAGAGTGAATAATACACTTCTCAGATGGACACATACACGACTCCAAAAAGATGCTAATGTTGCATTGTGGTCCTGGATGTGTAAATAAATACTGTTCGCAAGTTTGCCATAACCTTGTGTGGTAATATGTCAATGTTGGGTTCACAGCTTGTCAATGAAGCTGCTTTAATCCCCTGTTTGCTCGTTGTCCAGGTGGAGCATGTGTACTCCGGTCAGGTGCAGTATGTGGACGGAGGAGGAGACACCACCTTTACCACGTCCTCCATGTGAGTAGAGACGGACCTGCTGTGTGTGCATGTTGTGTGCAATCTCCATATTTGTGAGGTTAACGATAACAGGTTTTGCATGAAAAATGTATATAACGATGAAGCAATTACGCTTGCTTTTCTTAACACACATCTTTGTTTATCTGTATTTATTTATGTGTGTGTGTGTGCAGTCGATCGAGCAGCTACCCTTTCTCCGACTCGCCCCTTTACTCCCAGACGCCCCCCACCTCCTCGTCCTACTATGAGGCCACGCCCAGCTCTGAGTCAGACCTCACCGGCTCTGTGACCTCGCAGCCCGTTTCTGTGGCAACAGCTGGAGCCAATAGCGGCGGAGCCTCTGCGGGCGGAGGGGGCTATGTCATTCAGGGAGGCTACGTTTTGGGAGGCGGAGCAACAGGTGGAGGAGGACAGAGTTACTCCAGCCCTAACTCTCGTGCCCCACCTGCTACTGTGAGTAAAAAAGTGAACAACAAACTGATTACACTATAAGAAGATTTAAGTTCAGGAAATTAAATCTGACCATCTTCTTTAGGTGCAGTGGCTGTGTGATAACTACGAGGGGGCGGAGGGGGTGAGTTTACCCCGCTGCACCCTCTACTACCACTACCTGCTGCACTGCCAGGAGCAGAAACTAGAACCTGTTAACGCCGCATCCTTCGGCAAACTCATCAGGTCCGTCTTCATGGGGCTCCGGACGCGGAGACTGGGGACCAGGTATTAACACATACACTAGAGTTTTATAGAAATGCATCTGAGGGCATTGTCATAACTGTTGGTGTGTGTTTCAGAGGGAACTCAAAGTACCACTACTACGGCCTGAGGATCAAATCTGGGTCCCCGCTGCTCAGACTGATGGACGAACAGCAGCACATGGCGCTGAGGCAGCAGCCTTTCTCACAGAAAAACAGGTATCCACACCCCACTGCGTACTTGTGTCCCTGTGGCTATGGGTGTATTACATTACTTAAAGCTGGGTTAGGCCGTTTCTTGAAGCATCATTGCCCAAATATTCCATAATCAGTTTTCAGCATATTTTACAGTATTTCGAGTTTAGTGAGAGAGAACTAGACATCTGCACTTCCTTGCATGTGACAGTAGACTTTGGCCATGTCATTTAAGAGAGTGTTCCTATTGGCTGTTTCGCAGATGTGTGTGCACGCTCCTTCAGATGGTACAATGCTAATTTACTGATTGAAAGTCCTCTTGAAAAGTTGCTATTTCAGCATTGGCAACAACTGTCATCACTTCAAATCAACCCCAAAAGAGACAGGCAGACTTTTCCAAAAGAAAGTCTCACAATGTTGGCAAAGCATTTGTAGATATGGAGAATCATTTTTCTAATCATTTAGCTTTTCTGCTACCTGTAGACCAGTGTTTCTCTAACTTTTTCATACCAAGGACCACTTAACCAATAAAAAAACAATCGCGGACCACCTAACTCCACAAATATCCAAAAACATATCGTTTTTAGAGAACAGATTACAAATCGCCTGAAAATGGTACAAACAGGTGGCAACATGTGTGACGAAGGTGTTGCGCTGGGCTATATCATGCAATCGAAAGTTAAACTTAAATTCGCTCCATTGCGGAGCTATTCCCGCGAGAGTGCAGACAATTTAAAGGTGGGTAGGTACATTTGAGAAACCGGCTCGAGTGAGCTAGAATTTGAAAATACACAACCGGAGAAAACCTGCCACTTCCTTCTAGGGGGCGCTCACTGACCACCAGTGGTCCGCGGACCACACATATACCTCATTCACACAAACGGTGTTTCAGGGCCGGTTCAGAGCTGGAGCTTGAAAAGCACCGGGTTTTCCTCTTCACACCGCAGCGGAGCAGCCTCTTAGCTCCGGAATCTGGTTCATTTCGAGCACCAAAAAATTGTCCGGCCAGAGCAAAAGCACTGCATACGTCACGCTTACGTCGAGGCGGGGCAGGGGCGGGATCAACTCCTGAACAACAACAAAAAGCCCGCGTTTTATCCAGTTTGTACACAACGATGGAGAAACTTAACAAGCAGCAGTGGTCCACTGAAGAGACCAGCTACCTACTGGGAATTTGGTCTTCCAAAGAGTTACAGAGGAAGCTGGAGCACAATCGGCCATTGTTGTTGTTGTCGGTGTCAGCTGTGAGGGGTTTCCGCGCGGTTTGGCTTTATGAAGCAGGCACGCAAACGGTTACGTCATGACGCAAACGATGACGCAATGACGCAGCACCAGCCGGACTCTGGGCGGTGTGAAAGCAACCGGAGCTAAACCGAAGAACCGGTTCTGAACCTGAAAAGCTCTAGCACGGAGCTTGAACCGGAGTTGCGTTGGTGTGAATGAGGTATTTGAGAAACACTGCTGTAGACAAAGGCTCACGGCTTTAGCTAGTTCAAACTCGTGTTTATGTATTGCAATAGTCTCCAATCACAGTCTGTCATCTCTAAGGGCTTTACAGGTTTACAAGTTTGCGAAATTATTCAGGACGGTCATTTCCATACTTACATACTGTATGAGCGCATGCACATGCCTGGGTTCTTCTGGTGAGAAGTGCTGAGCACAGAGGGGGGAAAAGAAGAGTCATGCAGGAGGAGGGACTTATTTTAAACCAAAAAACTGCAACCGGCAGCTAAAAAAATCCCTCTTTCGTGATTTCTGTATAATATATGCACTTTTCATTTAAACATTTATGTATTCCCTGTGGCTTTTTCTGTTGCTCTGATTGATGTGTACTCTTAACTTTTTCTAATAGGTTGAAGCCACTTCAGAAGGCACAGGGGATCACCAATGGCACAGCAGGTGGGCTGGGTCAGCAGGCCTCAGGACTTTGTGATATTTCAGCTCAGGTGCAACAGTATCAACAGTTTCTGGGTAAGCCCTCTAAAAAAGGTCTCTTCTAGTTATGTTTAAAATGAGTACACTTCATAATGTTCAAGGATTCTGTTCCTGGCACTCCGTAAACAAGTAGTGAACAACTGCTCTCTCTTAATCAGAAGCATCGAGGCCGCTGCCTGACTTTGTGGAAATCGATCTGCAAGCTCGGCCCCTGCCTGACGGGATCATCGTAGAACACCTGAAGGCCTTTCAGACGCTCTACAGAGAACACTGTGAGGTAGGCAGAGACAGGACGAACACACTGACTGTTCTCTCTCCACATACACAGCATTTCAAACAGAAGTGTGTGGACTCACCTCTGTGGTGTTGTGTGTGATCCCCACAGGCCATTATGGACGTGATGGTCAACCTCCAGTTCACCCTGGTGGAGACGCTGTGGAAATCCTTCTGGAGGTTCAGCCAGAGCATCGACACAGAATCCCTCAACCTGTAAGGGCCAATACTACAATGTGATGAAAGAAATACTAGCACATGCAGAGTATCTCCACTCGGTATGAACGCTGTGTCGTCTTCTCCCCAGGCACAATGAGTCGGAGAAGCGTCTGCCCAAATCCTGCCTGGTGGTGCTGTGTAAGTACGAGCCGGTGCTGCGCTGGACCAAGGAGTGTGACAACCTGCTCTACCAGACCCTGGTGGAGATCCTCATCTCTGATGTGCTGAGACCCATCCCCAGTGAGTTAGTAAGGCCCGTAAGAGGCCTGAGTAGAAAAGTGTTCTGTGAGGCAATCACGATTTTACAGCATGCTGGCCTCAATATGATGGATACATACCGAAGTGGTTAGAAATAATTGATAACTCCCTGTTCTATCCTTTTCACTTCTCCACCATCCCTCCCTCAGGTGCCTTAACTCAGGCCATCCGCAACTTTGCCAAGAGTCTGGAGAACTGGTTGACAGGCGCCTTGATGAACATCCCAGAGGAGATGGTTCGCATCAAGGTATTTATAAGCTTCTCTGTTGATTCCATACCAGGTTATAGTATGCACCAGTTCTACAAATGCAAAAATAGGCCAATATTTATTGAATTAGACTGGTGCGCAGCCCTTTTAGACAGAAAAAGTTGTCTATTTTTCTATTTAACTACTGCTTACAGGAAATGACTTAAGGATTGACAACTACAATATTGGCGGATTTGTTATGAAAGTTTGTTGCTTCAGGTATTTAGCTAAAAGGCAGTTCCTCAGTAGCTTTATCCATAACAGGGCTGTGGATGTTAAATGATCCTTATTACACGGCTTAGTTGAATACTTAACCCCCTGTCCAGTGTTCTTTTTTAATAATGACTGCCTTTGCTGCACATTATCCCTTTCACATAACATTTTGAATGTAGTCATTATTACCAAACTGTTTTAAATGTCAGACTTTAAAAGAAAAAGAAAAACAGACTCTGACCTTACTTATTGTTGCTTCTTCCTGACAAGCGCCTCTTTCCCCCCCCCCCCCC